TTAACAAAGCAAGTGTCCAAAGATGCCTCATGTCAAGAGTGAATAGTAAATCATGTAAATTTTTTGAAAGTTAGAAAAAAGTTGGAACATGTACAAGATGAAAGATTCTCTGGAGAAGAAGTGCAGAACCGTAATAGAAAGATTGATTGAGGATTTTTTTACGAATTATTGAAAGATATATATTTCATATATCTCTGTTATATATATATATATATATATATATATATATATATATATATATATATATATATATATATGGGATGAAAATCGCGCACGATAAAGGATTAATGGAGACGACGAAAAGTTCGTGTTGAGTAGCCACTGACGTTAGTAGACATCACATCGCTTGGATTTTTTCTGTACTATTTAATATAGTTGTCTATCAGATAAATCAGTGTGTATACGCCGCTTCCGATGGGTTTGTAACATATTTATATATCATCTCTCAGTTGCGGTTCTCTCCTTAGGCAGAAGTGCATTCAGGTACGACTCAAAGGATAACTGAGAAAAATTATACGACGGTTGTTTGGGGCTGCGGACAATTTTTGTTCCTGGCCCAGGTGTATGCGCTCGGGTCTCCCACCTTAATAAAAACATTGTGTCACAACTCGTCTTAGTGGGAAGCCAGAGTAAATAACTAGTTGTTTATCAGATACGCCCGAAAAGTATAGAGGAACTTAAATAATTAAATCTGATTGCAGAAAAAAAACGCAAAGGTAACTCTCCGACGTGTTAATGAATCGTACATTCAAAGAATTCGAACGTGTTTTGAAAAAAAAGACATTTTGAACATTACATATATCAATAGAATAACTATTAAAAATATTTCCATGCGTAATTATACATTTAATAAATTATCTCTCTCTTTTAGCTCACACTGTATATAAATTAATCAGATGTATGACATGATTAATGATGGCTTAAATCGTGAAAATGACAGTCCCATACAGTATTAATTTAGAAAAATCACGTGGTAGAGATAAACACTTAGTTGTGGAGCAAGCTAAGTGAACAATATTCCAACCTTTAGAAAGAGAGCTATTTATGTTGCCATAGAGCATCTCATTGTGCTAAAGTGGGATAGTCCATTGCTTGGGCTGTGATTGGCTGCTGGTACCTGGTGGGGTATTTCTATATAAATACCAGCTTGATTCATCTGTTGGTTGCAGGGTTTGTATTAAGTTACAACCAGCTTTATTTTTTGTCTGCCAGCTGGACGCTAGCTGGGACCTTTACACCAGTAAGTGCTGTTTTATTATTGTTATTCTACAGAACCCACATATCTATATACATGCACATTTGTTTTTATTACCATCAGCACAAACTGTATCACACACGTATATATATATATAATTATATATATATATATACTGTCATTGTTCTCTACCATCACACACTCTATCACACCGATGGGCATATATATATATATATATATATATATATATATATATATATATATATATATATATATGCACATTTGTTTTATTACCATCAGCACACACTGTATGACACACACACACACATATATATATATATATATATGCACATTTGTTTTATTACCATCCAGTCGAACTCTGTCTTTGACAGTAGCCACATATATATATATATATATATATTCGCACATTTATTTTATTACCATCAGCACACACTGTATGACACACACACACGGGAATATATATATATATATATGCACATTTGTACCATACCATCAACACTCCTTTGTGACACACACACCACACACACACACACATATATATATATATATATATATATATATATATATATATATATATATTATTAAGGAACATTTTTATATTTAACGTGGTTATTAATGTCTTTAATAAATGCCTTATCAGACCTTGTCCATTTCTTATATATATATATATATATATATATATATATATATATATATATATATATATATATATATATATATATATATATATATACATATATATATATATATATATATATATATATACATATATATATATATATATATATATATATATATATATATATATGCAAATTAAGTAACATGCAGGATTATCTAAATCGTGAAACAACATGGGATAATCGTCCATCCATAAATTTTTAATATAACACAAAAACTAATTGAGTTTCTTGTTGCGGTTCTCAGATAAGACGCTTAGCCATCTTGACACAATTTGTCTTAAGAATCATTGAAACACCGTTTGAGGTAGTCAGCTAGAAAAAGAATAGGTTAAATTCGTTTTGTGTCAGCCCCACTGTGTCTCAACTAAGCAATGTTAAGAAGAAAAGATCTTTCACGCCTTCAGTTAATGATAGCAAATCTGACTTTCATCTTCAAAGTCACTTCAAGTACCATCAAGAGACCTGTGAATAAGACTAAAAGAGAGGACAGTAGAATCAGGAATTCACAACAGTAAGATGGATCATTATTCCAAATTAAAACTAAATATATTCTTATTGTTCAAATTAGAATCAGTAGTCATCATAAAAAATAAATTCTTGTAATTCCAGTGAGATATATTTAATCATTTCAAAGATACAACTGTTCAAAGCTTAATCTAACAATTGAACAATTTCTTTTTACGAGATATATATATATATATATATATATATATATATATATATATATATATATATATATATATATATATATATATATATATGTGTGTGTGTCGAACTCATCTTTACTCGACCGCCTCCGGATGTCTTTTATAAACACAAAACAATTCATTTTTTTTTACAAAAAAGTACTGAGCAAAGTAAAAAAGCCGGTAAAACGATTCGCGTTCTCTTTTCCTTTTTTTCGTTGAATGCACTGGCGTCATTCCGATGGCACGCGAGCACAGCGCCATCTCACGTCCGGCGTCTGCGCTTGGCTTCAAAGTTAATCCCACAATGGCGCAAATGACGTGACGATGCAGATAAGTTAAAGTTTGCATGACGCAACTCAGGATACAAATCTATTCCTAATTATTTCTTCTTTTTTTTTTTCCTTTTAGAATTTGTTTAAATTTAATGGTTGTTAGATTCTTCTTTTTTCTGTTATATCGTATTACTTTACGTTAATGCATTCCTTTGAAATTTTTATTCGCGTATTTTTTCTTTCTATCTTTAACCATAGTTTCTTTATTTCCATTTGAGTTTATTTTTGCGTCGACCCATTTTTTTAAATCAATTTATAAAAATGATTTTGTTCCAATTCATTTTTCTGTTGTCGTTCATCTAACAATTTTCACTCTACACCGCTAACCATACACTTTATCTTTATGTACAAAACTTACATATTCATTATTTAATAAACATCGAAACATGATATTTCGTTATGCAATATTTGCTAACAATTCTCCTATCAATTACATTGATTTACTTTGTCCCTAATTCTGTTATAATTCAATCAGTAATTCTGAGATTATTTTTTATTTCCATTCTCTCCTGTTGCTTCAAGCACAACGTGCAAAGGGATTGATTTTGATTTAATTATCCGTATATAATCCTGTTAGTTATCATAACTATTCAGGAAAATCCTTAATTATCACCATAATATTCACACACACACACACACACACATACATATATATATATATATATATATATATATATATATATATATAGGGAGGCACGGTGGAGTAATGGATAGCTAATACCCTTGGGAAAGGTCTGAAACCTCTTCTCCCTCCAGCTATGGGTAAATAGCAGGACAGACTGGGTTCTATAGCCTTGGATGGCAACTGGTCTAGGAGAAGGAGAACTCTGAATTCAAAACCAGAGGGTCGTTTGGGGACCTTGTGGCACGTAGTACAACAGGTCTCTGTAATCGGCCCCTCAAAAAGTGTGGATGGTCCCCTTTTGAAACCTTCACCACTATAATCAAATCTCGTGCTATACATGAAGGGTTGGGGACCGCTTGTGAATTCCAAATTCCATGAAACTCCAATATTGAGTCGGCTCCAACTCACCTCAGGTGTATGTTGTCACAGTGCATATATATATATATATATATATATATATATATATATATATATATATATGAAGTGCAGTTGTTTCTGTGGTTTAGCGTGTAGATGTTTTAATGTACGTTTCCTGTACTGTCGATCTTATAAACGGCGGGAAACATTTTAAAATAAAAACTACTTTTTTGTTACATTTTTACTATTTTTTTTTTTTATATAAAAAAGGCTAACGTGGGGTGAAAATTTTAGATGACCTGCACACCCGACTTCTTCTCGTCAGGCGATTAGCCCCAGGATGAAATCATCATGTTGGTTCGTCTGCCTCTACCTTGGAATAAAAAAAATAAACTTTCTTTTTATTTTTTGCCTTATATATATATATATATATATATATATATATATATATATATATATATATATATATATATATATATATATATATATATGTATGTCTGTGTGTATATTACATAAAGCAAATATACTTAGGAATTAATATCATATCATTTTTTTTGTTACGCGTTAATGCGTAAAATGCAAACAGACTTTGTTATGCAAAAATAAAAGAAACAATTTATAAAAGCAAAATAATGCCTATGTAAAAAGAAGATAAAACAATAGATACACTTTGTCAGAGATAGGAATATGCAAGTTCTAGAATATTTTTCCCCCACGTTGCCGGAAATGTCGAATTCCGAATCTATATGCTTTTCTTTACTACACGTAGCAATTATGATTACATCATCGACAATACGAAAGCAGTTATCGAATGCCGTTCAAAATCTACTCCTTACGTAGAAAAAAAATAGGTTCTGATATTATTTAAAACTAGACTACCCGTGACCCTTTCAACATTAAAATGTCTGTTTCAAGAAAGTGAAATAAAAATACTTACTGTATAAACAACTCGTCTTTTTAAATCTTATTCACTAAAAATATGTTTAAATCATATTAACGTAAAAATATATTTTAATGTGCCAAAAATATTTTAAAATCACTTGAAAATATTATTTTTAAATATGGCAAAACTTTTTTTGAATGTTTTAAAACATTGTTTGATTAAAGAAAGATGAAATGTAGATAAGGATGCTTGATATCGCAGTGTTGAAAAGAGAGAAGTGAAAAGAGAAAAAGAGGTGTAGAGAGAGAGGGGTGAAAAGAGAGAAGTGAAAAGAAAAAAAAAGAGGTAGAGAGAGAGAGGGGGTGAAAAGAGAGAAGGAAAAGAGAAAAGAGGTAGAGAGAGGGGTGAAAAAGAGAGGGGAAAAAGAGAAAGAGGTAGAGAGAGAGAAGGGAAAGAGAAAAGGAGTAGAGAGAGGGGAAAAGAGAGAAGTGAAAAGAGAAAAGAGGTGTAGAGAGAGAGAGGGGTGAAAAGAGAGAAGTGAAAAGAGAAAAAGAGGTGTAGAGAGAGGGGTGAAAAGAGAGAGGGGTGAAAAGAGAGAAAGAGGCGTAGAGAGAGAGGGGTGAAAAGAGAAAAAGAGGTGTAGAGAGAGAGGGGTAAAAAGAGAGAAGAGAAAAAGAGGTGTAGAGAGAGAGAGGGGTGAAAAGAGAGAAGTGAAAAGAGAAAAAGGTGTAGAGAGAAAGGGGTGAAAAGAGAGAAATGAAAAGAGAAAAAGAGGTGTAGAGAGAGAGGGGTTGTGGAGGTGTATATTGTAGTTGTATGTATCCACTTTCTTTTAGTGCTTCCTCGTATGATATTTTTTTTGTTATTGAAACTGTGTATATTAGATGAGTTTTCTGATAGTCTTCGGGTGATTGATATGGGTATTTGTTTGATGATTGGAGCCGGATGGTTGAAGGATGTGTGCACATATGTTGGGGTGTCATTATCTTTTTTTGGTACGGTTTGTATGTATTGTTGTTCAGATTAACAATGACATTTAGGAAGTTTACTGGTCTTCTACCTGCATTTTTTTTTCTATTTTGAATCCAAACTTTTTTTAGGGCGTTTGTTATTTTTTTCCCTAAATTTGTCTAATTTGGCCCCAAATTACATATAGATTAAGTTTAATTAATTAATTATCAATTAAGTATTAATAGCAAGAATGATTAAATCGGAATTTAGTGAGGTTCGAGTTCACTTGTGAACCACCTGTGAGACTTGCCATCTCACCAACCTTCTATGACAAGAGCACATTTTAGATATTTTCAACTTCTTTTATATAACCTGTTCCTTCAGGCGTTTATGATCAAGGCTATCGAATATTCTCTGTCCTTTGTACTATCTTTTTGCTAGTATCTCTATTTTTGTCTTCAAGAGAACTGATAGTACACAGTTAAGATTGAAATCTCTCTAAAAACATATACTCAGTGTTAACCATTGCACACATTTAATCGATCGTCAGCAAGGGACTAAGTTTACTTTGTAAGTTACAGTCTCATGATAGCGCACCGATCGATACATTATCAAATTTAGTTAATACTTACGATTTCATTGATTTGACTGATATTTGTTCTTTTGCGTTAGTGACAAAGATTTCTCCTTAGAGGTAGATTATTCCTTTTCTAATTTTATATTTTTAACTACTTTTAAAGAATCTTTTATCTATAAAATTATCGTTTATTCATTTCTGGATGCCCTCACATTAACCTTGCCGTTCGAGTCGAGTGCTTCATTGAACTGGAACGTTCGCTCTGTTCGCGCATATGCAAATGACTCGACTTTTCTCTTCGTGAGTCAAGCGTACACGCGCGTGAGCACACACACACATTATATATTAATGGGTAGTAATCCCTCTTTCATGCAGTCGTTGAAGATGTATGACAAGATACTGTGGTTAAGCTTTTTTTTATTTTAATTGAGTTCGCACTAGTGTTTTCTTTTCTGGGCACAGGGTATGTAAAATTTTTCAAAAGGTCGGGATATCTGGTCGCTTTCGGCTATTCTTTTATTTATTATAGAGGACGATATATATTTTTTTAATTTTTGACTGGTTATGTGCGTGTTTATATGTATTTGAATTCATAGGAATGTCTTATTTTCCAAACATGGTCTGTACATTGCGGCCGTGTTTGTAGCTGATGTTATCACGTGTTGGCTTTTTTTTTTTTTATTAGCGCTTGCATTTACATTATTAGAGCTCCCAGGTTGTCTTTGCGGTGTGTGTATATCAGCCAGTGATGATGTACTCTTGTGTGTTAGCTTAGCCACTGATATAATTTTAGCCCCGATTCTGCACTTATTTATAATGACATGTCCTTTTTGGTTAGCGAATATTTAGGTAGGTTTCAATTTTGATTTTATTGTTAGACACCAGTTACATATCTTTCTGTTATATATTTCAAGGTGTCCAACACATACTGGGCTAAACATATAAACACTTTTCTAAGATCAGATATTCTTGAGTGTAATTGATTCAGAACACTTTTGGCATGGATCTTCTGCTACAACACCTACAGAATTTCTAAGATCAGATATTCATTACATATTAATAACGAATACCTGTGTTTCACTGTCTCACACTTTTCAAGTTTCCTCCTAGAGACCCTACCCCAACATATCATACTATTTGGGAATCAGTCCGATTCCGTGTGCAAATTAAAATCATTCCGAGCAAGATCAGGACCTGAAATCCTGAAATTTTGGATCACCAAGTTTTCATTACTACGATTGTTTTCAGATTCCGCCATATTGTTTTCTACTGATAAAAAATTAAGAAGACACTTCTCTCTAAGTTTCAATAACTCATGTTCAATGAAAAAAAAATACTGTTTTCAAATTACATTGTTTCAAAATGAAAGTGTCCGTTTTATCAACTTTACTCTTAGAGGCTGCAGTCCAACATATCATACCACTTGGAATCAGTCAGAATCTGTGAACAAATTTAAATCATATTAAGCCCGATCCAAACCTGCAATCCTGAAATTTTACAGTATTTACATTAGTCGGACTATTGTCCTCATCTTTGTCGCCATATTTGTCACAACGTTTCGGCCGTTGTACACTCCGGCCTTCTTCAGGTGGTTGGAATTTCGAACTGAACCCTTTATTTCGATCACTGGGGTAGACTGTGCCATGTGTCCTCAAGGACACATGGCACAGTGCATAAAGGCGTTGGTTAGATCCAGTGACAGACCCAAAAGAAGGTGAGTTCAATACCTGGTTAAGGCAGTGGAGAACTTTCAAAAGGAAAATTAGCAGGAGATAACTGATAACTGACATCCATCAAAGATGGCACGTGGAACTAGAACAGTCTAACCCAGTGATCGAAATGAAGGGTTCATTTCGAAATTCCAACCACCTGAAGAAGGCCGGAGCGTACAACGGCCGAAACGTTGTGAAAAATATGGCGACAAAGATGAGGACAATAGTCCGACTAATGTAAATACTGTACATAATACCTCATCTCAGAAATATAGAGAGACTCTGAAATTTTACATTCGGAAGTTTTCATTACTGCGATTGTTTTTGGCGATATTTTGCGTGAATTTTTGCTACAAATTATTTTCTACTTGGTAATAACTTTGGCAATAATTTTTCGTACGGAAACTACATACGTACAAAAAATTCTTTACATTAGTGGTGACATAAGAATCATCGTTAAACTTTTTAAAGTTAAGCATAAATTTTAATGCAATACTTAAATTCAGCGACCAATTTTGAGTTCACTATTTACATTATTCTGACTATTGTCCTCATCGTTGTCGGCATATTTATCACAACGTTTCGGACGTTGTAAGCTCCGGCCTTCTTTAGGTGGTTGGAATGTCGAACTGAACGCTTTATTTCGCTCACTGGGGTAGACTGTTCTAGTTCTACGTGTCATGTCTAATGGATTCCAGTTATCAGTAATCTCCAGTAAATTCTCCTGTTAATTCTCCTCTCCAAATTCTTCACCGTCTTAAACAGGTATTGAACTCACACTCTTTGGGTCCTGTCACTCGATGTAACCTACGCGTTTATTTTACTATGACATCCACTGTCCTCAAGGACACATGACGTTGTTTTTGTTTTGTTTTACGGTATATCAACCACAATGGGTTATATAGCTAACGAGTTTATCCATTAGACATGGCACCTGGAACTAGAACAGTTTACCCCAGTGAGCGATATAAAGGGTTCAAGTCGACAATCCAACCCCCTGAAGAAGACCGGGGCGTGCAATAGCCGAAACGTTGTGATAAATATGGCGACAAAGATGAGGACAATAGTATGAATAATATAAATAATGCACATGATAACACATCCCTGAAATATAGACAATTTTGACTTATTCTGTACTTTATTGTTGCTCGTCACATCTACTCTTCCCTACCTATTGTGATGAAAGGCCAATCAAGAGCGCTCCGCAGGGCAGCTTTTAAGGTAGCAATAGTTTATTTCCATTTTCAGGTATCGGTGAAGACAGTTGCAGAACGCCCTGATTTTGGGTCATATTCAAAACTCTCTCTCTTCCTCTCCTAAATTCAGCCTCACTCTTTTGCAGTGTTGATAAATGCGGAGCGCCATCACCTAAAGTATTTTGAAGATGTCGCTACAAGTTGCGTTTGAAATGTTAGCCAGATATCAGTTTACATGGAAAAAAAAAACAATGCACATATTAAAATGTTGAAGTTAATGCATGTAAGAATTCACAGCTCTATCATCACTCATGCCTAGTGTGCCTGTAAACTTTTCGGCCTACCCTCGTATAGTAATTTTCCAAGCGTAGCATAGATGTGGCACAAGGCCGAAATTAGGGGGCACCCAGTGAGGATCAAACTCACTACTCAGTCGTAATTGTTCTAGCGAGACAACTTGCTAACCGTTACACCGCCTCGAGGTGCCCCGGCCTACCCTCGTATATACGTTCACTTCAATGAAGTAAGCGTGTAAAAAAAAAAAAATTTACTTTTTCAGATGTGCGAAATATTTTTCAATGGATTCAAGCACCAAACCTGTATACTGTCAGTCTGTGTTTGTAGAATGGCAGAGGCGAGCATCTGTCGGCTCGTTTGCCCTTAATACTTAACACGGATACGAGCTTCCGCCATGGTTCCGCTACAAGTGGAAGTGATCATTGGCAATGCAGAAGAACACCCAAAGCAAATAAAAACGGACGAGTTGTCACGATTTCGATTAACAAGGATACAAAAGAGGTTCGAAAGAAGCGGTGACACGGAAATTATGAGGCGGTTGGCCAACAGCGGCGTTCATTTGCCAGATTGGTTGATTGTTTGGAAACAATTCTCGCCTCCATCAACTTGCACAGACAGAGAATGATTTTGCATCGTCAGCAAGATCACGAGGAAGTCTGAGAGGGGGGGGAGATAAAAGTTTTCTGGTGTAGTCTTTGTATTATTCCAAAGCTCTCATCCTAATGGGCATTGTGGGTATTGTAACAGTTATCGGCGTAGAATACCGTTTGGTTTCGTTTCGTTTGTTTTACGGCATATCAACCACAATGGGTTATTTAATGCCGACAAATATTTTATTACTTCAAAATGGATTACTTGTAATTTTTTTTTACCAAAAATGTATAGCTGGTATTTTTTTTTAAATGGACAGCTGGTAATTTTTTTTTTTCAAAAATGTATACATGGTAATGTTTTGTTTTTTTTTAAAAAAAAATTATCGCTGGTAATATTTTTTTTGAAAAATGTATGGCTGGTAATATTTTTTTCAAAAATCTTTAAGTGGTAATATGTTTTTTCAAAAATCTATAGCATATATTTTTTAAAAAATGTATAGCTGGTATTTTTTTAAATTAAAAGCTGCTATTTCTTTTCTTAAATTAGTAGCTGGTAATATAATTTTCAAAAATTTATACCTGGTAATAATTTTTTTCAAAAATGTATAGCTGATAATATTTTTTTTTCAAAAATATATAACTGGTAATATTTTTTTTTCAAAAATGTATAGCTGGTAATATTTTTTTTTTCAAAAATGTATAGCTGGTAATATTTTTTTTTTTTTCAAAAATGAATAGCTGGTAATATTTTTTTCAGAAATGCATAACTTAATATTTTGTTTCAAAAGATGAAGGGCTGGTAGTAATTTTTCTTCAAATATTTATTGCTGGTAATAATTTTTTACAAAGTATTTCTAGTATTACAACCTATTTTTAAACTTTCATAGTGTTTTGTCCCCAGTTTGTGGGTTAACTATTTTCACATATTTGAGATCCTAACCGATACTACCAGCACAGGTCAGGGTGGACCTGGGAACACCAGCAATGAAGTGGTGGTTCCACGTTCCTCAAAACATCCTGATCAGCGGCCTTGCTGTTGGATGAAATTTATCGTCTTACCCAGGATGCAGATGTAGATTATCGTCATACCCATCACAGGTAGAATACGGAATTAGCAATCGTATTTCCAAGTTCCGCCTAACTATTTTTCCTCTTTGCATTAATTCCTTTTAGAAAAAAGAAGGAATCTATCTCCTCTCGCCTCCCACGTATCTATGTATTAAATAGAGGGGTAGACAAGAATGCCTAATCTTCAGTGACATCCGGATTTAGACAAGGAAAACATTGAATAATAAAGAAAACCTATGTTATTTAAATTTGTATTTTGTAGCTGGAGATATAATTCTTTAGTTTTACAAACCAATCAAAATTTTCGGAAAGACGGAACCAATATCTTAAAAACTAGATATATTTACGGGATCAATTCGCAACATTATTAGATATTGCACTAATTTTAAAACAATTGATATTTTGGGTAAAACCGCATATTTTCCCTACACAAACATATTCACATGCAGCTGCTATAACGCGGACACAAATATGCAAAGCTAATGGTCATGTAGTGATTTATTAAGCGTCCTTTAAATGTGAGGAAAAGCGACGTGTATTGTGCCCAAATGAGTATAAAATCAACTACACAGTCGCAACGTGTCTAGCGAGGCAACCTAGTTAGCAAATACGTCACGTAGATGTTCACCATTAATGTGTATTTGTCTTTATTCACAGCCCACCTTCAGGACATAGGCGATCATAGTTCTCAATATCTCCCTATCATTTACGGCTCTTCGCAGCATTTTCTTCTTCCATTAAGGATCCCTGTTCCGACATCAATATACGCAACCTCGACAGCTGAGTAGATTTCCCATTTTTCCTATCTCTCTTGCCCTCAATTAATCCAAGGAGGATCAAGTTTTCCAGTCACTCTTTCCTCATTAGGTATATAAGCAATTTTAGATGTCTCTTCCTGATTCGGAGTAGAAGTGTGCTTTTATTGCCATTTTCTATACGACCTCCTTTTTGCTTACTCGCTCTGTTCATGGAATTTTCCGTATCATTTTGCTTAATTACATTTCTATTGCCTCTAGTTTTCCTCGTCCGTTGGGTGATAGTCCAGCATTCACTGCCATCTAAGAGAGTGAATAACACAATGTCTGTATAGGTATGCATATATTTAAAATGCTGTATTGTCCTCTCGAAATGTCAGTGAATGTTAGTTGTTCTAATATAAAACTGTATGTGCATGGTTGTGTGTTTGAATATGTGTTGACTTGTATGTGCGTGTGTGTTCACTTTGGTTTTCTTTTTCTCTATATATTTTGTCTGTTGAGGTATGAATGCAGAAATGACTATTAGGTTGGGAGAAAGATAAATACTTAGAGAAAATAATTTAACAGAATTTTCTTGACTAATGTGTGGAAAGAGTAATAGCCTAAGATGAAAAAAATTAAAAGTAGATAATAATTAGATATGTTCTCCATCAAATATTCAAAAAGTGAACATTATATATATATATATATATATATATATATATATATATATATATATATATATATATAATAGAAAAACCTCAATCACGATCCAATTCATCAGCTAGGTCTTATGAAGTGGATCGTCATTACGATTCCAATTTAATAAAATATAATCATGGAATATTAGTGTTTCAGGCTTTTATATTATATTCTTACTCTGACCTGGACATTGAGTTCTACCTAGATTCTATCCTCTTGGCAATTTATGTACACACACACACACACACACGCATATATATATATATATATATTGGCCAGTAATATTATGTATGTATGTATGTATGTATATACACATTGACCAGTAATATATATATATATATATATATATATATTAAAATTAATAACAACCAATCAATATATGAGAATATCATTTTGTTGCAATAATAAGATAACAGTCGCAACAACGGTGTTTTTATACTTCAAGAGAAATGTATTTTACTATCATGGTGGAAAGAAAAATGGCCGGCGTAAATATTAATAATATTTATTCCGAATCTTCTGCTGATTTCCAGGCTGTGTTGGTGATCTAATGGAAAGTGAAGAATTGAGAAATCGAAGCCTATTTCGAAATTCAGTTAGGTTCACTTACAGGCAAATAATTTTTCAAAACGTATGGATCAATCACATTTCCAGCTATGGGTTAAATAGTAAGACTTTATGTGGAAGAAGAATAACTCTAAAAAAAGTCTCACGCAAAAAATAATCTTACAATCTAAAATGTTTCTTCTTTAAAAGACCAACAGATTGACAAGTCTTAAAAACCAGAAACCATTCTTCTGAAACCCCAGTTCTTTCAGCCTGATTCCTCGGCTGTTAAGAACAGTTTTACGCGTTCCTGATAAAAACTAGCATGGCTGTTGCCTTCATATCCCTTATCTTACTCACCTAATAGTCCCTAATCTCTATCTTTTCACGTTCTTTCTATGGTGCGATGGGAACGTTAAAAACTAACGTTTTGCTATTTTCTTGGTTACGATTGCTTGATATTACCATCTTCTTAGCATTCGCTACTTGATTGTAATCTCAAATTGCCAAGGAGTTCTACATGTCTTTATTTTCTATGACAATATAAGTCCTGTACATCTACATTTGGTATGAATGCTCAAAATGCTACTGTTATCAAAATTTCAGATGGATGACCAGCAAGCTATTCGGACTGTTTCCACGCCAGTTTGCTATATTCGCAGATTACATTGACTGCCACATTTTTATATCTACATATTTTATATTCGCTAAAGTTAAACAGGTTTTTTAATCAATATTGATCTTTATGTCTTATTATCCCAAATTCGTGCAATGTTTCTCTGTGATGCCCACTTCAAAGGATAACTTTTGTTGCTTTCATGTCTTTAGTCATTGTTCATAATATTCTACGTATTTTTCTTCATTTATACGCAGAGCTCGAGTTTCATAAAAGAGTTTCATGCTTATCACACTTCAACTTTTTCTTATATTTCTTTTTCTGACTGTCATGAATCAATGTCTTATTCTTCTTGGCTTGGCAATGTTTCAATATTTTTTTTTATTTATTATTCTCTGATTTAAGAATTCCTAAATTTTTTTCCTGCTATTTTGTCTCACTTGGTTTATTTACATTTCCCCATTACACATATATCTGCCAATATATCTATTTGCTGCTTGAAGTGTCAATATAAATGTTTGTCTCACTTGGTTTTGATATTGCATTGTTGGCTTTCATGATCATTTAGTCGTCATTCACTTCCTTTTATTTCAGGATTTGACTGTTGTACATAATCTTTCGTTACTTTAACTAGTGTGCACTTCCATTGCATTCATGCGGAAATAATACAATCCGCAATGAAAACATACTTATTCCTCCTTTTCTCTTAATATAGAATGTATTGACATCTTCTCTCGGGTGTAAAGCTTTATATATTGGCCAAAGTAACATTCTTATAGTTATTTTCCAAGCGTAGCTTAGATGTGGCACATGGCCGAAAGAAGGCGGCATCTAGGATCGAACTCATTTTTCTGTTGTAACTGATCTAGCGAGACAAGCCTGCTAACCATTACACCACGCCGAGGTGCCCAAATAACATTCTTATATTGCTCAGGTTCTTCTTTCTTTTTCTTTTTATTATTATTATTACTTTACTTCTGCTGCTTAACAATCGAATCTCCATTAGCAATTCATCCCTTAATTAATGTTCTAAATTCAGAATTTAAATTGGGATTTCTTTCTTTCCATTCTGGGATATTCTTTGTAGATATTCTCCCCCATCTACTTTATTGTATCCATTTAAAAAATTTCACAGTTTTCAATGTCCTTTCTATCAAATGTCCAGGTGATTTCTTTCAAGACGACTTCAATTCCTTCAAATATTTCTCTTTGTCGGGTATTCATTAACAGCATAGCACATTACAGTTTTATTGCCTACAATTAGTTTAAATGCCATATCACTTCATGACGAATGAGAGCATGACTCCCAACAGATTTATAATCATTGAACTTCCATGTATTCTTTTTCCTCATTATCTTCTACACGATTTGAAATACTAAGCTTCTTTTCTCTTATGTTGGAAAAGCCATATCCACTCAGTTATTTATCCCATATCGTGGGGGAGAGGAGCCGGATTCCATTCATGAAAATGGAAAGCTAATGACAAGGCCAGAACAGGAAAGCCCAGTCAAAATTTCCGCGTTAGGTTCAATTACACAAAACGAACTGATCTCTTGTTCAAAACATTAATCTACCCAAAGGATTATATCATCTATTTAGTCTTGGCTGCCTGCTATCCTATTCAATTTTCCACCCAGAAAATATCAACATTGTGTAGAGAAACAAGATTTCATGTGTCCTTGCACCATTTTGTGCTGACGGTTCGACTTCTGTTGGTTTGATCGTGTTCTTAATATTCTGAATATTATTTTCCATTTATATTTGCAACATAAAATTTCTAGAAACTTTTATTGATGGTCAATCCCCTTTTCTTACTAATTACCCGTTTAAATTTTCTCAGATACTTTTGTAAAAGTGTTGAGGAGAGTTTATTTTTTATTCTCGTTTGCGCAGTGCTTAATTCATCTTGTCGCAGTTTTGCATTCACTATTCGTCATTTGCACTGTTTGATTGCCCATTATTCAATGTCTTTATCATATATTGCTTTTATGTCTTAGATTAACTCTCTATTACGACCGAGAGACTTAATTACTGTTGCTTCAAGTCCACTTTGAGCCGGGGTGGTAGCCCCTTTTTTTCTATAATAACGCCCCAAATTTGATGGAATACAATATGTATGCAAAATATTTAAAATTCGGCATTAAATAGCCCACAAAGATTGATACTACGAACAGAAATCAACCAATCAAAACCTTATTCAACTATTTATTTACAAAGCATTAAATATTATTTCATCAATATATATCATATATATATATATATATATATATATATATATATATATATATATATATATATATATATATATATATATAAAAGAACAGTAAGATATATAATCCGATGTTCTTATTGATATTTTCCTTTTTACAAAACAGTGCTCAATGTAAATTTACAGAGCATAAATATTATAAATGAACTGATTTAGAATATGATTTACCATGTTTCAAAAATGAGGCTACAAACTTTAATTTTAATAAATTAATTAAATTAAAAACATTAGATCTGCTTCATGTTCAAGCAAATTTTAAAAAATTCACTTGAAGATGAAGCAGAATTAATGTTTTTAATTTAATTATATAATTGAAATTGAACTTTGTAGCTTCGGTTTTTAAAACATGGTAATTCCTGTGTAGCGAAGAAATCATATTTTAAATCTGTTATATATATATATATGTGTGTGTGTGTGTGTGTGTTTGAGAGTGACAAAGATTTATATTTTTTGTTTCCCCACTTTCATTTTCTCTTCAAGTTTTTTTCTCTACTCTTTGTATTTACTGTATAAGTAATGTACAGTAAAGCAAATGACCTTTCCCCTGCATGAAGAAACCATTTACTGGTGGAAGCGACAGTAGCATAAAGTGTTGGTGTTCCTTCATTAAATATCTCTGCACTCTCGATTTTTTAAACACAACAAGAGAGTATCTACTCCCTTCTTTGTAAAAAGAGTTTGATATATATATATATATATATATATATATATATATATATATATATATATATATATATATATATATATAATGTGTTTTTATTGGTGTAAGATGTACGAGATCAGTAACGATTAAGATCACGGAAATAAAGTTCGGCTAGCCATATTCGTTACATTCATTTTGCACAAATACATTTGACAATAAAGAACATTTTTCTCCCGACAATCCTATCTTACATAGCAGGACATTTTTGGAAACTTCTCGATGATAACTCAGAATTTCAACCTGACGCCAGCTGCTTGGAGATCCCTGTCATATTGTGCACGATTTTGCTATCAATTCTTCCAATATTGGGGCTGGTCTTATCAAAGCCACCACCACTATGAGAAAAACATGTGAGGGCTGACTGTCCGTCCAGTTCGAAACTCTGAACCGTTAGGCCATCATACGCCGTAGAATGGAAGATATAATATACAAATTTTCTGTGAGATGCATATAAGGTAATTAAATAGCAAAATAGAAGATCATCTCAGCAACGAATCCCGTACTTAGAACAAACACAATTGTAAGGATTTTATTTTGTGGCAAGTATTTATAAACAAAAGCAAACACACACACACACACACACACACACACACATATATATATATATATATGAAACTCCCAACTGAAAATATGTTATTGAAAATATTTCTCATAAGAACAGGGGTAGTCTCATATTATATTATTCCTATAAATAAATACATTTCATGAACATTTTACACATTTCGTTTGACTAATAGCAAACTTATTGAGAATCATAGACTTACTTAATAAAATCTTACAATCGTTTCCCTCTTTTTAAAATTGGGCATCACTGGCCCGTGTCTGAAGCGTGCTTCACATCGTCCCCAGAACACAGCTCAACAGGCATCGAGTTGGATCTGCTTAAGATTCAAAGTAAACAAAACTAATTAAAACTATGTTCTAAACAAAAGGCTACTTCGGAGGAGAAACATATCTATTTCCCTTCCATTCTACATCATTTATAACGGTCGCTACGAGCGCAGAGTTTATTGATTAACGATCAAAAGTAAACGTTTTTAACATACTGTTGAATATCTGACTTAGAGTTGAAAAAAAGATATATCGCAGAGACTGACATGTCTACACAAAAAAATACCCTGTCCATTGGCAAATGTTGCTTGTGGTGCCAGGTGTGGCAGTACCGCCTTAACCACTGAAACTGTGTTACCTCACCTAGTTGGCGACTGAAGAGAGCAGAAGAACATACGTCCTTTCACACGTTGTATGTAGAAAATTATATATATATATATATATATATATATATATATATATATATATAATATATTATTTTGCGAAATTATTGATATTCTCTCGCGTATTGATCAAGTGAGCTGTTATAAAAATGTACGAAAAATTCACAGGAGTAAATCTAGTAACAATAATAAAAGCGAAATTGCTTCATTAAAAAATAAAAAAATAAAAACAAGCAAAATTACAAGTCTGCTTGCTTTTCAGATAATTAGCCTTATTTACGTATGCCGCTCATGACAATAAAGCAGATGTATTCTTTTTCGGGGAGCTTATTTCGATTCGAAAGCCGAGGTCTCTTGAGACACTATTTCTGGATCTTGTAAATGCATGATAGAAGGAAATCAAAATGAACCACCTCACCTTGGTTCAGATGAAATATTAATGCTAAGAAGAAATTTCACGACAAAAATATTGCAGAACTAACAGATTAAATTTATAAATGATATTAGAAATAATAACCGCCATTTTCGCTAGGTTTTTCTTCCGGAACTAATTTCGAAATGTTGAGCTGAGCATGCGCATACACACATAAGAACACAGATTAACACTGATCACACAGATGAAACGTGAGGAAGGGAAGGTGATAAAATAAAAACGACAAAGATAAGCATTTGTTTACAAGAATAGAAAAGAAACAACGGAAAGATAAATACATGAAAAGAAAGAAACTATGAAAGAATGATAAGGAGAGGGAGAAAGACGTGAGAAAGTTAGTGGATGAGAAAAATCATAGTTTATTTTTGATTTCGATTAGTCATTTCATTTTTTTTGTTTTTACTTCAACTCGTAATTTTTAATTTACGTTTCAAATTCAAAATGAGAGAAATTGTGAAGCGCATTAAAACCAATGATAGTAGTACCTAATTATATTTTAATTAAATCTTTCAATCTAGCATTTAAATTATATTTCCTGTTCATTTCACGGCTATTTTATTTTTTGGTTTAACAAAGAATATTTCACATATATAGAAAATCACAGAAACACACATTCAACTGCCTGCTCATATAGAAACAAGATCTCTCACGTTCTCTCTTTCTCTTGCTGTTACTTGAAATATAGATTTTAAATTTAACTGAAGGTAATTAAGTTAAAATGGTGTGGAATCTTTGATGTATAGGAAAAGAATATCGAAGTGTTGGTTAAGATTAAACAGAAACAAATTACCGTAAGTTAGATTAAAGCGTTTGCGTTCTTTCGTTCGAAACCGTAGACTCGGTGATTATAGACACATAGATGCACCACAGTGTTACTGAGATTTCAGGTGCTTCATAGCAGATGGTCACTTCTGAATTCGCTTTAAAATCAGAAAACTTCCACTATAATCGTGACCAGTAAAGGTTCTACTAATATAGTAATATAACCCAGTCTACACCATTATTTCATATATGTGAAGCGAAAATATTGAACCATACATTTTCATATGAAATTTGTGCGATTGTTAAACTTCACTAGGTATGGAATTCACCACGCCAATTCCAATCTCGTCAGATAAAAACGCCACGCTATTAAGTACACGTAAATAAATATTTAGTCGAAGATATCCGTGAACAGAGTAAATACAAATTAAGGTACTACTTCACAGGTACTATATTAAAGTATTAACTATCTACATAATTTACGCATATAACTTTTCATTACAGACTTATAAGAGTAACTGGAAGGATTTCCAAAATAAATATTAAAGGAAAGTAAGACGAATGGCTTAAGCGTTAACTGTAAAATGCAACACCTAAGGCCATTATAAAGACAGAAAACCCAAGGTATCAACTACTAAATAAAGACATTCAAACATGTAAGAAAAGATAGAGATAAGTTTCGTTCGTGGCTATTATATGAGTAAGAGAGGGAACATGAAGTCCTCAGTCGTGCTAGTTCTTATCAGGAACGCGTAAGCCTGTCCTAAATAACCTAGGAAAAAGACTGAAGGAACTGGGCTTCAGAAGATTGGTTTCTTGTTTTTAACGCTTATC